TCATCACAACAGAAAGGCTACCCACTGTATGGGAGAGCATAATTGCCAATGATATATCAGATAAGGGGTTAATTTCCAATATATATAGAGTGCTCATACAGCTCTAAAAAAGGAAGACAAAGAAACCCCCCCCCAAAAAAAAATGGGTAGAGGAGCTAAATAGACACCTCTCCAAACAGGACATACAAATGGCCAAGAGACATATGAAGAAATGCTCACCGTCACTAATCATCAGAGAGATGCAAATTAAAACAACAATGAGGTATCACCTCACACCTGTCAGAATGGCCACCATCAACAAATCATCAAACATCAAGTGTTGGCGAGGGTGTGGAGAAAAGGGGACTCTAGTACACTGCTGGTGGGAATGCAGACTGGTGCAGCCACTATGGAAAACAATATGGTATTACCTCAAAAAATTAAAAATTGAACTTCCATTTGACGCAGTGATCCCACTTCTAGGAATATATCCTAAGAAGCCTGAAACACCAATCAGAAAGAATAGATGTACCCCCATGTTCATAGCAGCACTATTTATAATAGCTAAGATCTGGAAACAACCCAAATGTCCATCAGTAGACGAATGGATAAAAAAGCTGTGGTACATGAACTCAATGGAGTGCTATGCAGCTGTAAGAAAGAAAGATCTCTTATCCTTTGAGATGACATGGAGGGATGTGGAAAGTATTATCCTAAGCAAAACAAGCCAAGCAGAAAAAGACAAATACCACATGATGTCACTTATTTGTGGAATATAATGAACATAACAATCTGAGGATTAGTATAGACCCAGAGAAGTGGAAGTAGAGTACAGACTGACAACCCTCAGAAGAGGGGGTGGTGGGGGGAGGGAGTGATAAACCACAGAACTTATATGCACGTACGCATAACCAATGGACACGGACAACAAAGCTGAGGAAGGAGGGGGTGGGCATCGGGAGGAGGTTTTCAATGGGGAAAAAAAGGAGAAACATCTATAACAAAAATAAAATAATTTAAAAAATGAAAAAAAAAAGTAACAATACTACCCAAAGCAATATACAGATTCAGTACAATCCCATCAAAATACCAATGATATTCTTCTCAGAACTGAACCACTCTCTTACACCATATACAAAAATAACTCAAAATAGATTAAGGAGTTAAATGTACGTCCTAAAATCATAGAACTCCTAGAATAAAACTTATGTTGTACACTATTTGACATCAGGGAAACAAACACAAGAATAAATAAATGAAACGTCCTCAAACTAAAAAGCTTCTGCTTAGCAGAAAAAAAAAAGGTCAACAAAACAAAAAGATAACTGACCAAATGGGAGAATATATTTGCATATAATATATCCACTAAGGGGTTGATATCCAATATGTATAAGAAACTCATACAACTCAATAAAAAAATACACAATTCAATAAAAAAACTGGGCAGAAGACATGAAAAAACATTTCTACAACGAAGATATACACAGGGCCAACAGATATAAAAAGATGTTCAACATCACTAATCATCATGAAATGCACATAAAACCATAGTGAGATATCATGTCACACCTGTCAAATGGTTATTATCAAAAAGTCAACAAATTACATGTGTCGACGAGTATGTGGAGAAAAGGGAATCCTTGTGCACTGTTAGGGGAATGCAAATTGGAGCAGCCACTATGGAAAACAGGATGGAAATTCCTCAAAAACCTAAAAATAGATCTATCATACAGCCTAGCAATTCTACGTCGGGGTATATATCTGAAAAAACAATACTAATTTGAAAAGACATATGCAACCCTATGTTCATTGTAGTACTATTTACAATAGCCAAGATCTCTAGATGACTGGATAAAGAAGATGCAGTGCAAATATACAATAGAATACTACGCAGCAATAGAAGATGAAATCTTGCCATTTGCAAGAACATAGATAGACCTAGGGGGCATTGTGCTGAGTGGAATAAATAAGTCAGAGAATGACAAATACAGTATGGCTTCACTTATACATGGAATCTAAACAAGAAAAAAATGAGCAAATACAACAAAATAAAAGCAGACTCATAGAAACAGAGGTCAAAGGATTACCAGAAGGGGAGGGGTAGGGAATGCGTAAGAAAGTTGAAGCAGAACATAGTAATATTGTGATATATTTGCACGGTGCCAGATGATTACTAGAATTAGGTGATCACAGTGTAAGGCAGAAATGTCAAATCACTATATTATATATCTGAAATTAATATATTGTATACCAACTATAGTTAATGTGTTTTTTTGTTTGTTTTTTTGGTATGTGCCCCTAGCGGGAACCGAACTCGGGACTCTCTGGTCCCCAGGCCAACGCTCCAACCACTGAGCCAAACCAACCAGGGCCATAGTTAAATTTTTGAAATTTAATTTAAAAACCAGCTAACAGCCCTGGCCAGTTTGGCTCAGTGGTTAGAGCTGGGCCCTGGGACCAACGAGTCTCGGGTTCAATGCCAGTCAAGGGCACATACCTCAGTTGCGGTTCGTCCCTGGCCCTGGTCTTGCAGAAGGCAACCGGTCAATGTGGCTCTGTCACAGGAATGGATGTCTCTCTCTCTTCCTCCCTCCCTCCCACTCTATGTGATAATAATAAGAAAAATATCCTCGGGTGAAGAATAAAAATAAAGTAAAAACCCAGCTAATATAATTGGCATTTGTAAGAAAACGTTCACTGGCTGCTGCTGACTTAAACGTGCTTCAGCATCCAGGTCATCACGACTGCCCAAGCTCTCCCGCCACACCAGGCCCTTCAGCTGCGCATGCGCGTTCCTTTGCGACATGCACACGCTTTGCGGCACTGCCGCACACTGTCGTGTTACCTCAGAGGACGCAGCGTACAGCCTTCTGCGTTGGCTGGTCCTTTAAGTGTCTAGTTTAAAAATACAGCATACCCAAGCATACTCCAAGCGGAACACGGACAAATAATGTTTAGCGTGGGTAGTAATCATCTGAGTATTACACCTGATTCGAAATTGTTAATGTAACGTTCAATCAGATTGCTTCTTGTGCTAGTGATTCACCATAAAGGAAGCTCACGACTCTGAGGGCGGCTCAGCAGGCCGTCTGATGAGCTGTGGGCTGCAGTCCGTGCGGGCTCAGCTCGCAGCCAGCGCGGGGGGCGGCCGGTGCACCCCCGAATGCCTGCCGGCTGGGTCCCGCAGCGCCGCCCCGCCGGAAGCCGCCTTCACCACTGATCAGTGTCTTCTCAAACCCTCGTGTTAGGTTCTGCCTTTGCAACCTTGACACCGGCTACGAGGCTTTTGGAGAAGGAAAGGCTGGTGATGACAAGAGTAAGTACCCCGGGGAGTGTCCCAAAGGAACACCTGATAAGGCAGAAGCCAAGGGGAGTCTGGAAAACAGTGTCAGCCGTCACAAAGCAAGAGGGACTTACTTTAAATGACTGAAATGAAAGAACAAAGCTCTAGAAAAGGAGAGTCTCTCTCAAGATTAAGAGTGGAGACTAAAGACGAGGGAAATGAACCGACCTCACTCCCCGAACCTCACCAAGGAAGGCAGTGCCCCCACGTTCTCCACGAGCTTAGGACACTCTGCGGCCTCAGCCACTGCCCAAGTCCTACAGTCACGTGGCAGAGCAGTTTTGGAAGCAAGGTCTCTTTTTTGCAAATAATCAAATTTGTCTAAAAGTATATTCTAAGAAAATTTCATATGAGTTATGCTAACAATAAGGATGCACACTTGAGGGAAAATGTAGAGAAAGAATCATTTCTGAGGTTTTGCAGTATGTAGGGGGTGGGGCCCAAGTAGGTTTACAGTTGTTCGTATGGAAAACGATGCAAAAATTAATAAATAATAATACAGTAAACCCTCCATTTAACGGACTTCTGATTTAACGGACAAAATTTCTGGTCCATATGTCAGATGGGAAAATTAACAACCTGTTCATTTTAAAATGCTTTTAACCAAGATTTGCTTAATGTTAAATTAACAGGGTTTTTAAAAATTATTATTAATTCACTTTTATTTAACAAATTTTAGCGAATAGGCCATATGTTGGGAAAAGTACTGTAGTATTTCACAGACATAAATAAATATTACCTATCACAACTATAGTCTACATCTTTAAATCCCAGAGTCACTGCTCGTAAACAGTGTTCGGGGAACAATCCGCACGTGATCACACTGCCTGGCAAGATGTACTGGGGTCTGCCGTCATGTGGCGTGATTTTCTGCAGCAGTTTTATGGAGTGCCAGCTGGTGTCCCCACGTCCCGGCCGTGTGCATGTGGTCACTCTCGGTGACTGGTGAGCACATGCATTCACTAGACCTAGTCAGGATAAATTTAAACTTATACTGTAAAATTACAGTAATATATGTAGAAAATTTTTCTGTGAAGTTAAACTTTTCATACAAACTTGATTTTAATTACACAAACCTGTCTACATAAGTAGACAGGTAAACTAACTAATTTGTCCATTTTTTAACACATGCATTCAGAAAACCTACTGTATTTATTATATAACTGACCTTCGGTTTTAACGGAAGCCTCTCACCCGAGTCAGTCCATTCTCTACTGTACAAGAATAGACTCTGTATTGGGCATACTCACAACTGTAAGCCTACCTCTGCTCACCCCTGTACTTCTATTAAAGCACAGTTACGTTACTTATATTTGATTCATTATTTAGGGGCTATGTGATAATAATCAATGATCATGTTATAGCTCAGATAATGAGCTACACTGATATAGCAAATAGTATCCTTAGTTACTCATTTATATAATTAACTCATTTAATGTCCAAAACAACCCTAAGACATAGGTGATTAATACCACCTATCTCATTACAAGAGGGTAACTGAGGAACAGAAACGTTAAGGAACTGCCCCAAAGGGACGTGGTAAGAGCAGGCAGGCCTCACACCTGGGCAATGGGGCCCTGAGCCCCACCTCTAAAAGCAAATACATCGGATTAATAGCAATTGCTCATTACAACTGAGTTTTTCTGTTAAATGTCAACATTTAACAGAAAATTCTTACCTCCGGTTTGCTAAGGCTGGATGAAACCAAGGAGCCGGACCCCACGTCCAAATCCCACTGCTTTTTACCATGATTCTCTGGATCCAAGGCAGCAATTCGCCCATCCAAAGTGCTGATAATCACTAATGACCTGTAAATTTAAAAATTAATAAGAAAAAGTTTAAAAGATATCAAAGATGTTGAGTACCTACTCCACGCACTCGAAAGAAAGCCGGCCGCTCCCAGGCCTCCACCTGCAGGAGGGAGGCAGGGCCCACCTCCTTACACACTTTCTGTCCTGTCACCCCTCTCTGCCTTTAGCACTGAGACCACTGCACTGTCCTTTATCTGCTCACGTCACTTGTGAAAAGTCCCAGACTCCTGGGTCACCCATCCCTCCCACACTCTCCTCCCTACATGGAACTAACTCAGCATTCTCGGCTCTCTCCTCTCCTCCTACCTTTCCCCACACCCAGCAGTCTTCCCTGAACGGTCACTTTCCTTCTTCTCTAATGCAGTCTGGCTGTCCCTGAGGACACTGCTTCAGAAGCAATAGTTTTCTCCGTGCCACTGATCACTGAGCCTAGTGATGGGGCAGCTGTATTCCCTGCACCTCGTCACCATCCCCATCCCCAGACTGCTTTCTTCCTCTTTTCTCTAAAAATCCCCAGGATCAGACTGCTCCATCTATTACCCCCCGAGCAACTGTTTACTGACCCTCGGGTCACTAGCCCATGAGGACTTTTGCTCCTGGTTGACTGTCACCATTAACAAATTCTTTGGGTTTTCACGGTCTGTCTACCTTGTCTCAGCCACTCTTGTGGTCAGACCCTAGTTCTTGTCATCAATCACAACTGCCCAATCCCACTGATATTTGAAGCATCCCACCCCCAGCTGCCAACCCCTCTTTCCAGCTCACTTCCTCTACTTTACTGACGCCAACAAACCCCTCCAGAACCTACATCCAGTTGCAATTCCATAGTCCATCATTTTAAACACTTCCTCTCCCACACCTTCAACCCCTATACTTCTCTTGCATGTCACACTTGACTAGCAGAATTCCAACCCTAGTTAAATTGAACTTCCTGCCTTTTTTCATTCTTGAATCTGTGCAGTTGAATGTGGCTGAAGAAAAACATAACCATGCTGACTGGTCTCACTTTAATTATGACCACCAACCTCAAAAGGGCTGTTAATGATGCTCAATAATCATATGACACTCCCGTAGACCATCCACTTGCCAACTGTCCTAGGTTAACTACTCAGTTTCTCATTTTTCCTCCAATTTTTGATACCAGCTCTTCCAAGCTCGTGCAACTCAGAGACTGTGCTACCTGTTTCTTGGAGGAAACCATAAATAACCCAACAAGACTTACCGCCATTACATCCATGCATCTACCTGCACCTGGACCCATGTATTCTCCCTTCCCTCCTGTCACTGCGGGGAACAATCACACTCCACCTACCACCACCATGTCCACAGAGGCAAGAGCTCTCTCCCTCACGCATGTATCAGGACTCACTCCTGCAAACCTGTCCTCTTGTCTCACACCGGTTACTCCCCTCTCTGCCAGACCATTCCCTTCAGCCTTCCAATCTGCTATGATTTCTTCCAACGTAGAAACCAACCCAGATTAAACAGAAACAACCCTCCCCACCCCACAGCTTCCAATTCATTCCTTGCCCATTTTGGAGCAAATTTCCTTGAAAGAGTTGTTATATACTCTATGTCTCCACATTCTCCCTCCCCTTGTCTTGAACAATTTCTAATCAAGATTTTGCTTCTACTGCTCCACTGAAAAGGTCCTTGATGGAGTATCAATCACTTCCACGTAGAAAAACCTCATGGTCAGGTCTGTTCACTTGACCATCCAGCAGCACCTGATCAGCTACATCTCCTCTCCTGATACTCTATTCTTACTTCTAGCCTACCCTTTCGCAGTTTCATTTTCTAGTTCCTCTTCATCTCCCCTATCTCTTACAGTATTCTCTACCTATATGTACTTTTTCTTTTTTTGTTGGTCTCACCCAGTCTCATAGCTGAAAATACCATCTATATGCTGCCAACTCCCAAATTTTTATTTCTGGTTCCAGGCTGCTCCCTAAATTCTGGACTTACATATCTAACTGTCTTTCAGATTTAGATTGTCTAAGTGGCCTCTCAAAGTTCACATACCCAAAACCAATACCCCCAGATTGACTTCCCTAATTCCTCAAATACATCACGCATGCTTTTCCCGTAGGGTCTTTGCAGCTACTGGTCCTTCTGCCTGGAACATATCTCCCCATATACCTAGCAAGCGCTCAGTAAATACTTGTGTCAAATGAAAGAATGTGTTGTCCAGTTGCTCTAGGAATTTGTTAGGTATATTTGTCTGCTTCCATGAAAATTCTAAACACATACAGTTATGTTCCTGGTTAGGGTAAACACAACATTTACCTTTTCTATCGCACTTGATGTAGTGTACACAAATTAACAGTAAAACTGCAAGCCAACCGAGACAAAACAGCTCTAGTAAACTCATGCGAAACCTTTCAAATAATGTGTTTACCAAATGAATAAATAAAATTGTTAATTCAGATCCCAAACCACACACCAATTCTCACTTTAAATTTTTCAAGTGGTAACTCTTAGTCTAATTTGTGAAAATAAAAAATTTTGCCACACTACAAACTCGAATAATTTTAGATAAACCAAAAGAAAAGGAACAACTCGATTCTCCTACCCAAACATTATCCTGTTTTCTAAAGAAATCTATTGGGAGATGGGGAGGACAAGGATACCTCAAGTAAGAAAAGTATTTTATAATGAAGGTTATAAAAACTCACATCTTAAATGTGCCACTCTAAAAATAAAAGCAATAAAATATAATTAACTTAGAGATCCAGGGTTCGAAACCAAGATACCCTTTTCCTAGCCCCACTGTATAAATGCCTAATTTTAATGTTGAGTAATCATTAACCACAAATAAATGGTTAAAAAAAATAATTCTCATAGAAATAAAACAGTGTAAGCAACCAGTGTTAACCCATGAAAACTTAAGGAGACCACTGGAACACTTCAGACACTTTTTCAAAAATTCACAGCACTGTTCATTTATTATCCTGGACGTTCTACTTATAACAACAATAACAACAACCAAAAGCTATACTTTCTCTAAATATGTAGCTATTTAATCTAGAGGCTCATAGAGAAGAACAGTACAGTTCTAACTTTCACCTTCACAATAAAGAAAAACCCAACGATAAAAGATATGTAAGTGTGCCTTACGTGAACACAAGAACACATTTTAATAAGTCATTTCGAGCTGAACACCTAACTATTCTTTCACTGGAAATCTATTACACGGAGTGCATTTAACCGACTCAAAATCCTGCTTTTTAAAGTGAACAAGATATTTCGGATTAGAAACTACATTCAGGCAATGTGTGTGAATCTGAGCAGAAATGCAAAGAAACACAACGAGGGAGGACACTTCAGCACATCACTTTCTTACCTGCTGCCACCACTGACAGTCGTCTGACCCTTAGATTGGAGTGTGGTCCCTTCATATTTTAACCCCTCTTTAAAAAAAATTTTTTCTCTTTATTGATTTAGAGAGAGTAAGGGAGAGAGAGATAGAAACATTAATGAGAAAGAACACTGATCGGCTGCCTCCTGCATGCCCCTCACTGGGGTCAGGCCCACAGCCTGGGCATGTGCCCTGACAGAGAATAGAACTGGTGACCTCTTGGTGCAGGGTCAATGCTCAACCACTGAGCCACACCAACAGGGTTACTTTAACCCCTCTTAATGGGAATAACAGAAAATCCCTAACGAACTCTGTCAGATGTCAAAAATTATATCCTTGCCCTGGCCAATTTTGTCAGTGGTTAGAGCACTGGCCCAAGGATCAAAGAGTTGCAGGTTCGATTCCCGGTCAAGGGCACATACCTTGGTTGCAGGTTCAACCCCCAGCCCTGGCAGAGGTCCTGTGGGGGGTAACCAATCGATGTTTCTGTCTCACATGGATGTTTTTCTTTCTCTTTCTCTCTTTCTTTCTCTCTCTCTCTCTCTCTCCCCCCCCCCCTTCCTCTCACTCTATCTGGAAAAAAATAATCAATAGAAAAAGTATCCTCAGGTGAGGAATATATAAATATATATACACACACACACCCCTTCTGCCATGGCTGAAATTGAGCATCCCCACACAAAAATATATACTATGATTTATACTACTATATCTAATCAATGTCTATGAGAGAGATGCTCACTGACGTGCTAGCCACTGAAAAATTCATGAAGTAGACAGATATTGCTGAAAAACCAAGTCCTCAGGTTGAATGCAGCAATAATCAGAGGACAGTAATGAGAGATGACATTTAAAATAAATATCAATTAGAGATAAAAATGAAACCCTCTAATTGGGAAAGTATACGGCCATTTATCTCTCCATGATCCACTTGCCCTAGTTTGAGGCTTCTACGGACAAGATGAAAACTTTCACTTATTCGAGAACAAAGGAGCTGCAGAGGCAGCATTTCCAGTGGAAAGAATCAAGGCCTCGAAGTCCTGGTGAGCATCCACACGGCTTCCTCATGCAACCGGCTTTTTCGCAGGTAAAATACACACACCTCCTTTTACTGCTCTTTACTTGACTGCATGTCATAGATGTCACATTTTTCACAACTGAAGGCAAGACCCTCCACCAGCTGAAAGATTACTGCGTGCTTGCTCAGGTTATTGCAGTGGTCTGGAACCAAACCGTGAAATCTCCCAGGTGCCCCTGTGGCTCTCTCGCCTAGCTCATACTTGCTATTTGCCACAAAGTGCACAGAAGTCAACTTTTCTCCACATATTTCTCTATCCAGCCTACCTGCTCCCTCACACTCTACATTTAGACACGTCATGTACTCTTGATTCTATGACTTCAGTTTCTTTTCTGTCTTTCCCTCTTGTCCGTTACCACTGCCCTTGTCCTGGAGCAGATTCTCATTTCTCGTTAGAACACCTTTAAAAGCCTTTCTGACATGTTTTCCCGCCTTTGATCTCTTTCCCTGCTGCTCTCCTAACAGCTTTGCTTCTGTAAAAGAAACCCGATAAACTCCTTTTTTTTTTTTTATCCTCACCCGAGGACATTTTTTGATATTTTGTTCAGATAGAGTGGAAGA